ATGCAATTTGCACCCATGCTCGTGAACGTGCAGTCATTGAACACGCCACTTACAGTCCAGGGTAAGGTACTGGAAGTTGTGGAGTGTTTTACATATCTAGAAGTCTGTATCCACTCTAATTGTTTTGTGGCAGATGAGGTCAATGCACGAATCTGTGAGGCCCGGGTCGCGTTAGCCAATTTGAGACATCAGTGTTGGCAAAGTGGTGTATCTCTGAATATCAAGGGACATATATACCGGGGTATACTGCGGGCTTGTTCGAGCGGCGAAACTGAGACGTCTTCAGGTGTTTCACTTCCGTTGTCTCAGAACCATAGCCTATGTGGGTTGGCGTCGCTGAATCCTTAGCGAGTTTTCGGTTGTGCAGCGGGGATTTCCATTGAAGAATATATCCAAAACGAAAAGCTGCGTTGGTTATGTATGCCGAACCACCGTTTATCGAAGAGAGTGCTGTTTTCCGTGCCTAGTTGAGAGTAACGGAATCATAGAAGGGGCCAACCCCTGACCTGGCAGAGGGATATGAAAGGAATTGGTAAACATTTGGGGGCTGCTCGGTGGTACTCGCCTTTCAGGCTGAGACTGTGTGATCCCCACTGCTCTTGTTTCGAGATGCTGCCGCTCGATACAAGACCGTCATTGGATGCGTGACACGCCATGTCTGTCAGGGTCACCGGTTTGTCCTATCCCGCGACCTCATTTCGAAAAGACGGTAGTTACCAGAGCAACTGAGTTAACTGGTTGGGGCTTTGCCTCATTTTCAGTTCGTCGACAGACCGTCCCTACTTCGTTTCCATCCGACATAAAGCTGGGCGAGGAGGGCTCTACGAGGCAAACGGTACCGTAACATACAAAGCAAATTACCTAACCATTGTAACCTGTGGAATGTGACCAGCGTACCCTTCAGGGAGAATGAACTTCCCCTAAAACCATCTGGTGTACCCATCAGACTCGCACAATGCTTCGGAGGCACTGATGGCCAAATACAGAGAGCCTTTGAAGATCATCTGCACGAGAAACCAAGTCGCCGATCCATAAAGCAAGACACTTCAGACCGAGGCACTCTTCGCTCAAGCTTTTACAATCGCGCTGATGTGACGTCGGCGCCACAAATGTAGGTTAGCAAACGCTGCCCTGGTCTTTCCACTTGTGGAACTGATTTCGTCTTTCGCCAGACCACTGGAGCTTATGCAGCCTCCCAGGTAAACAAAATTTTCACTCCGTCGATTGGTTCACCTGCAAGGTTGAGCTCTGGATTTGATGCTCTCCATTCCTGCAGTAGCACTTTACACTTCACAGTTGGGAAGCGCTTACCGAACTGTGCAGCAGAATTATTTAGGTTGCTTAAAATAATTTTCATTTGCAAAGTATCTGATCATAGGAGGACAATACCATCGGCGTACTCATTGTTCTTAAGCGAACGCTTCGGAGTGCTTTGATCCGAGATGTGTTAGAGGTAGGTGCGTATCGAGCACGGATTTAGAGAGGAAGGGTGACAGAAGACAGCCTTGTCTGACAGTACTAGATGTGGTAGACTCAGGTGAGAATTTGCCGTAGCACGTACGAGCCCACGGGAGGAGGCATATAGAACTCTCATTAGAGAGTACCATTCATAATGAACACCCCCTATCGTCCGATACTGTCACAGTTTCTGGGAATCAGCGGGTCGAGAAATACGACGATTGCCGGCCATCGGAAAGAGGGACGCAGATCCAACATTTGCAGCAAGGTGAGGATACGATCGATGCAATCCCAGTCAGGACAAAACCCAGTTTGATTTTCTTGAGTCCGGCTCTCCTGATGACAGATCAACCTGCGTAGGATAATACCAGGGAACAACCTAGAAGCTCTAGTTACTAGGCTGATGCCCCTAGAGTTCTTGCGCGGTGTTCTTGCATCCTTTTGGGATATGCCAATCGCCGTCGCTCCATTCCGCTGGAATTCGCCCCCCGTCCTTTCTCGGGGAAGTGAGCATCGCTGCTTCCATAAATACGGACATGCTGGTCGCCTGGGGGAAACACCTTACTGCCTTCACACTGTCGCAGAGGACAGTATGACTTTACCCCCAGACCGCCTCGTAGCACGATTACTCTTAGTACGGGATCTCGCCGCTCTTGGTCTGACTGCTCCCTTTTGGCCTTCCTGGCGTGGTTGCACCTTGTTGAACGACGTTTCAGCCAGTGTAGCCCGCGAGATCATTGCAGCATTCAAGCCTGACCACCACGTCAAGGTGACAGCTTTAGGTCGGGTATTCGTGTGACAGTCCAACGGCACGTCTCTTTTGAAAGATGGTTTAGTGGATGACGACAAAATGCATTTTTGACAAAAATGCACTGTAATAGCTGATCAGAAAGGATTGTAGGGCTGATAGATCCCTCAGATGCCATCAATTGTACAGCAGAAATAATCTATGGATCAGGAAAAGTGCACCCTTATCCGCACGGTAATGTGAACCATAACCCCGAATTCGATAGGAAACACAAGGTAAACTACGAAGAAGTTCGCGCTGTGTGGAACCAGTGACTGGTGTCATCTAAGTGAATGCCAGCTTCTTTTCAGCCGGCGAGCGTTGCGTCTATTTTCTGCTGGAATATGACTGGTGCGACCCTACATCAAGTGGCAGGCGGTTAGGTTGAACTAAACTGGGGTGTGCGTTCATTGACAATAGTTCTTCGGAATCATTTTTGACTCCTAGTCAGAGGTAAACGTCAGCAAGACCAAGCTTCGGAAAGCATGTTCCACTACGTAGCCTCGCAAATAAATCTGGCACAGGTAGTGGATACTGGAGCAGTGAGTACACACACAAACTGCGCCATTCGTTTTCTCGACGACAGCAGTAGAGGCCACCCACAGTGGGCAGTTGACAGGCTGGCTAACCCCGGGTTGTCGAAGACGTTCTGATCCCGCTTGCCTTGTTGCGAGACTCGAGACTTTCGCTTGGAATTCGGTTCGCCCATCCGAATGTACCTGGAGACTGGTCTTGAATTTAGTGAAAAATCCAATATCATTTTGAAAAGCATTGCTAGGTCTTGTCAGAAAATCGTATATGGAGTGTTTTTCAGCGTCTGTGATGTTAACTACTACAGAGTTGCCAAAGGAACGCCGGAAGCATCGATTTTCTATATTCAATCAAGCCCAAGTAGGTTCACAGTGAGGTAGTCGATAAAATTATATACCTTTGAAAGATGCCTTGTAAGTTAGTTACACGGTGCATAAGGTGATGCATTTTAGCACAGTGGTCGCTGGTAAACACCACGAGCTTTGCACTTAATTCCCACGTGAAACGTGTGCTCACCGTCGTGTCCGAAACGCCTCCAGTGAACTGAGATATGGTTAGTGAAAACTGTTTTGTATTCTCCCCAAGATGAAAAGTCAACTTTGAATGTGTCGGGTACAAATGTGGATGTTTCCGTGACCGCTTCCTCCAGAGAGTATCCCGAGGAGGAATGCGTGCGCTCTTCTTTGTATGTTGGCAGTGTTGGCCCTAGGAAGGCGGTAAGTTTAATTTGCGGCCCTGCTGACTGAACCTAGGGCAAAATGTTTTCGGAAACGAAAATGTGAATCGTACCACTTCTAACCTGACCAGTAGGCTGTGAGAGGCCTCTTTTCAGAGCCAACGGAAGTGCGTTTTGGTGGTAGGAGGAATTGATGTGGGTTGTTCTGATGGTTGTTGTAACGTTGCACTATCTCGTTTAAGATTGATAAACGTTGGTATTCGGTTGCGAGTCCCTTTATACATGCCTCTTGCTGTCCGACTTTGAATAGCAACTGTGTGTGAACGTCTGCCTCTTGGAGAACTGAAGACCAGCAACTAAAATCAGGCATTTGCATCGGCCCTGTTTTAGTGACTGTAGCTAAAAATGTTCGTACTCACTGTTCACAATACCTGAAAAATTAACGTGGTCGTCCGAATCACGCTAGGGTTACTTTAGACAGTTGTGCCAAACATTCAACAAGGTAGGTTGTTCACTGGAAATGTCACGAGTCTGGTTTGCCGTATGCTTAAGGTCCATATCTTTCAGCTACCGCGAAAGGATGAAGTTCACAAAACGTTCGTTTTCAACATTATCAAGTTTCCGGACGTTAGATAGGCTTTTCCTGTGTCGTCTCTTTGAAAGGTTTCTGAAAGGTATCTTCCCAGCGTGTACACCATGCATCGAATGTGTGGTCGAATGCTGACCTACAGCTGAATTCCGGTATCTATGCGACTATTGCATCGGTAGAAGACACTGTCTCGTCACTGGGAAGTGATGCTGACGTTTGGATGTTGAAGCTCTGCGTCAGAAGCCTGATACACAGCAACATCAATTATCCTATTTACGCCGGTTGTTACAGCATTTCTTTCAATTCGTCGGACGAAGTCATCGTCAAACTGGGACCCTGTCGCCAGTTGTCTTCTCTCCGGATCACAACACCTCTATTGCTATCGATCAGGTAGCAAGTAATTGAAAGATAAAGGCTTCGATGGTGTGTTTTTGGAGAATCTGCCCAATGTTAACTGTCAGTCCTGCTTTCAGCCGAGAAGCCAAAGCTTTTATCGGCTAAACCGTCGCTGCCCTGTTCATGTGAATTTGTGCCTAAGTGTAATGTCACATGGACATCTAAATACCAGCAACTTCTGGTCGTGACTGACCTTTCGAAAATTGGACTAAGTAATACACTCCTCGTAAGTTGGAGAGGGATTCGTCATCCACGTCCACACCGCAGTTGTACCTTCTGCTGCACGGCATTTCGAATCGACTGTCGGACATCCAGACTTCCGTCAAGCAGTGTCCGCTTCTGGGAACACCCAAGTCGAAGTACACTTTGTGTCCACTTCGCGACCAAAATCTCTAGAGGTTAAGTAATTGGTTTTCCTTCATGTGGAATTCAGCCTAATTGTTGTTCCATAAATATTAGCCTTTCTTACGTTGGCAAATTTGTTCTCTTACTTTTTAGCCGCTAATCCCAGTCCTTCAACCGGACTGGGAGTATCCTAATTACCTCCCTGGAGTCATCAACTGATGTGCTCACCAGGCTCTATGGACTTGGAGACGCATATTGCCTCGAATATCCCCTGGCCCGCTCTTTCATCCAAATTGCGAACTTTATTGAGTGATGATCCAAAAGAGTATGACAATAAAATTTTGGCTTACAGTTTACAAAACCAACTTCGCTACAGAGGAAATATTGTCCAACAGGCAAGATATTCAGGGTTTTTGTTTTACCTCACCTTGATTACATTCTTTTCAGGTGATCAGGCGCGAAAAATATTACTATGAAAAGCTAGTTGCTTACAGCCGGCAAGAATATCTGCTCTACCCCTACCATCTTCAAGACAAAATTGTCCCAGGCCTACGCATTACTCCATTCACCTACTATCGTGATATGTTAATTCAACTGGTTCGAGCTGAGCGTTCCTACGACAGTTTGCCAAACTTTACCGCCGCCGATTGTCTCCGTCTCTTGGGTATCGGGCGAAACCAGTACATTGATATTGTCAATACGTACAAGAGCTTCTTGACCACAGCCGGACCTGATGAAGATAACAATTTGTATGAAATTCTATACGATATTTTACCGTGTGAACCCGTGGCCCACATTCATTTCGAACCGTGGTATATTGTACACGTGGGTGCGGTCCTTATGGAGGATATGGAACAGTCTACAGAAGCGGAAAAAGACCTGATTGACCGCATCATCGATTCGGCACGTCTTCTCAACGCTAATGGTGCCTCTGGTTTGCCAGTTGCTGATATGGATGATTCTGTGTTGCAGCAGTTACATCGTCGTGGCCTGGTTTACATTGATGTTCCAATTCAGGAAGACGATTGTATCGGCGTCCCCACATTGGAAGGATTTGTCATGAACCGCGTGAACGGCGACAGCCGGGAGAATTTACTGTACAAGATATTTGTCAGTGCAGATGAGAAGATCACAATCAAAGAGTTGGCAGAGTGCTTACAAATAGATGTGAATTTGGTGGCTCAGGCTGCGTCGGTGTTTTGCAGGCTTGGTTTCGCCTACAAACGGACAGCAGTGGGGAACTTGAATGTTTCGACACTGACATCAGATGAGGACAAGTCATCGTTCCCATCTCCAGCTCTTACTTCACACCCGAATCCATCACCAAACTACGAATCAAACATGTACACTGCCTCGCCTGATGGCGCGCGACCTCCCAAGAAGAAACTTGCACTCATATTTGACTCCACAGTGACTGCTTACCTGATGATGGGCAACTTATCGACGGGACTCAAACCACACGCAGTCACCATGTATGAAGTAGGGAAGTTGTCGGACGACGCACTGGAGTCGTTTCTTGTAGAGTTAGATAACCTCTCTTCAATTGATGAGGGCGAGGCCAAACTGTATTATGAGCACGCCGTTAATTTACGCGAAGCCATTCACTTCTTACGTGCACAATCTAAGCTGGATTCAACGGACTTTTACGGTGTAGATTTGATCCGTGTTGGTTCTCTCTTGAGTTTATGTCCGGCTACACGAATACGGATTCTGGAAAAGCACTACAACCTCATTGTTAGTTTGAGCCCTTTGACGTATGAGGATCGACAAGCATCAAACGCCTCTTGGCCGGTTCATATTGGCCCACCAGTACCAGAAGCCAATTCACCGTGGTTTCGCCTGTTTGCATCCTACTTGGCCGGGCATACGCAGGAAACTGCGGGGAACCCGCGTCCTTCGGAAGATGTATTGCCCGTACTACTGTTACCCCGTGGGTCTCGGCTAAATCGATTACCCGAGTGTTTCAGTCCGATATCAAGATTTATGCTCATTGCGTGGGGTCATGACCCAATTTTGGTGAATGCAAATATTCTGCTGAACTCAGTGAACGATATGCTTTTATCGTCTACAGTGCTTGTCCAGGTGAGACAAGTTTGTCTTTTTTAATTCATCTCCCGACCTACTTTTTATCAGTTGTATGACCGAAATGCATCCGAATGTTTCCCCGACAAGGTTTGTTTGTAGATGTGATGCAGGCGTAATTCATATGTTTAACAGTTTTTCCCCACGTCCTACTCGCGAACCCGCTTGAGGTGTCTCAGTATGGACATAACTGTGATCTCTAAGGGTTTCGTAAACCGAATTCTTCCGAACAGATTTAGAAATTCATACGTTGAGGTCCTCGAACTTTAGTCTGGGGCACAGGTTCTAACGCCAAAACATATACTCTACTTCTGGAAGCTTGAAGCAGACGTTGGTGGGTCTTCGCCTCACCGTCGCCATACTTCCGCTAGACACGAAGTTATGACATATCTTCTGACAAGTGATTTTTTTACGGTTCTCCCACTTGCGGAAGCGAAACGCCGAACTAAGTAGCCCCGGGTTATGAGACTCTCATTAGTCTGTTCAGAGAAGTTAGCGAAATTCTGATTACTAGCAACCCACCGGTGATTTACGAAAGCCACTGCCCAGGAGAACTCATGTAGCAAACGCCGCTGGAACTGGTCGAGTACGATAGGCTGATACCATAGAGGACACCGCTTGAAAAAGATTGCGTGTTACGATAATGCACTTATTAATTCCTCTGCTTGTAGAGGTGGAACAGTGTAGATCACATGAGCGTAAATCACTTTCACTGCAGTAAATGCGGGACTCATTTCGCGACGGCCTCAATAGGACTATGGGAAGGTTGAAGTCATAACACAGTGCAATGGAGTCTCAACTTCGTGGGACCAACCAAGTGCAGACTGGTTGTACAATTCCCACTCACCCAATCACGGTATAACACTGTGAAGAATCTCCCGCATGGCATTCCGGAGTTGGCTCTTTGTCTAAAAAGAAACAGGCTTTGCTGCATAACTTGACAATGACTTCGGATAGATGTAAACTTTCCTGAGACCAGTCGGGTAGATTTGTGAGAGGATTTCTGGTCAAGATTGGTTGTTTGCCTTAGCTTTTCCTCATATCCGTTTAGTATACTCGTGACTTTGAGTCTCATTCTTTTCAACTGTACATTTTTTAGCAGTGCTGATTAGAAAGACGTCATTATTTGCCTCAACGTTCCACTAGTTACCTGATTGATTAATTTTCTTGCTTTCTATCTTTCAGGCATGCGATATATACACGGAAGACTTGAAACTTTATCAACGTTTCATTCCACTTCCCCTATCCAAACATATCATATACTCACAAAACGATTCTTCCCCTGTACCTGCTTTTGTTCGTCGGCTATCCAAGCACTTGGACTTATGTTCACTCACAGGCTACATAACTGTGCTCGCCCCATCTTCATGTGAACCAGGTCAAGCACAAGAAACCGATGACTCCTTTGACTCGTTTTCCGATCCCACAATTCCACCTAGCATGCTTCAAAACGACCAAGAACCGGCACATTCTCATCCCTATTGTGTCCTATCCGAGTCTGAACTGATCGAGCTTGTAAAAAATGCGTTACCTGTCTACTTTATCACATTAAACTTGGGTTTACCTATTTTCAGTGGCTCCCTTCTACGTGCGGTTTGTGCACAAATGACTGAATCGTCTGTCACGAGCGCTCTCTCGGTATCTCATCGACCTCTTCTCAAGGCGGCTAACACAGTTCTTGTTTCTCGACTTAATCAGTTCTTACGTACAGTCTGCAAAGCCGAATGGCCGGCTGAGAGTTCGACAGTGAAAAATGGGACGACATCCACTGCCGTTGATCAGTTGCCAGGCCCATGGCCGTTGCCCACTCGACGTTTGCTTTGTATTGGTGGCCAGATGACCACATCAGTCTGAGTTTACCACCACCAACCACCTAAGCCTTGTTTTGCCGTTGTTTCCTGAACAGACACACGCCTGCCGACCAACACGCGCATATAACTGTGATTTCATGGTTCATCATTCCAGTTTCACTTTAGCTTAAAACCTCCTTACCACTGCATTTTCACAATGCAAGTCTTTCTCACTATTTTTGGGACGTCATTTTGAAGCTGTATTTTCCGCACCATAACTGACTCTTGTTTTTTGCATGTCTCTCCCACCATTCTCCTTCACAACGCATGCAGCCCAGTGTATACGCCTTTTTGAGCCCTTGTGATCCGGAGAAAAGAAAGGAATAGTAGTACTGTTCAGAGTGTTCTTTCCATCGTTTTGTTCAGTTTCAAAAGATTTCGTTTACCGTATCATACAGGTGGTCTACGATTATTCTACTCCTCAGTAATGCGATCGGATGAGATATCGAAGTTTGCCTCATGACTTCCCTTAGGATTTCATGTTCGCACGTTCACTAGGCTGGTTTCTTTCAGTGGTAGTTGTTAGGTCTGACGTCATTTTATGTGTGTTGGGGTACACTCGCATTTTCCATATGAACGTCATCTCACTTCAGTGACACTGATGAACTTCCTTTTCAGTCGCCCTTTAATGCCAAGCGTTTTGTTCCACATTCTACCTTGGCTTCGCATTTTTAAGCGTAGAATGCCACCCACTAATCGGAGTCATATCTTGTTTATGAGGAGGATGTCTGTGAATTGAATATACTACGGTCTTTTTACTACTACGAATAAACCTATCAGAATAAGAATCAATACACCAGGCTCGTAAGCATGTCTACTGGTGCTAGCGCCACCTTTGAGTTCTGGTTTGGAATGATGTGGAACACAGATAGCTGGAAATTACTTTTTCAATACAGTTTGAAGTAATAAGCAACACTATACGAGTGACTTCGTATAGTTTTGTTGTTTTGAATCCCAACAGGTATATTGCATTTTCATCCAATCCCATGACTGCTCATAAGTTTTGGTCTGTTTGTAAGGAGTTCCAAGTCTTTAATAGTCGGGAAATCGCATACCCTATCCAAAATGGGTTTTTCATTGTGCACGAAAGTGGATCACAGATGAAGACAGTCCTTGATTGAAGACCTCTCACAATGATGAACACGAATGGGCAGAATAACTGAACCCTGAAAAGATTGAAAGAGTTTGGGAAGTGAAAAGTGCGGGAAGTTCCACGGACAAATTGTTCTGGATTGATTAGAATCGAATAGGTGGATAGGACATCTAAAAGGTGAGAGATAGGAAGATGCTAACTCTGGTGAGCCTTTTCCGAGATAGTAACGCTCAAGCAAAACACTTCTCGAAGAAGGGAAGTTTCGTGACTTGTCGATTAGATAAGCCGTAGTGGCCAGGCAAGTCGAGTAGGCTAGTGTAGGACCAATGGACCCCGCTCTTACACGTTTTAGCAGTATTTAAAAATAGGACAAAGTTGATATTCACGAAAAAGAACAGAGGCCAATGCATTTGCGAGCCCGAAATAGGAAATCAACCTTTCTAGCGGCATGAATCGCGAAAAATTGGTTATAAGCAGACCAGGAGTGGTTGTTCCCAAACTAATTCAAATAGCCGAACGAGGGAGAATAGGAAGTGCCGGTGGTTTCGATCGTTTGAGGAAAGACTAAATAAGATGAACATGGTTGAACGCAGTTATAGTCGATGTGCCCTGTTTGGGAATCTGTTCAGTGCGTGATGGGTTGTTCATGCTCGTCGCTCAGTCAGTGAGTGGGGCTCTTTGAGAATGGCAGGATAAAGAGTACGGAGTGCCGCATTTCTTCAAAGATAGATGTGTGGGAAGAAACAAGCGGCAACAAACTAATGACGTAAATAGGGAAGCGTGCAGACTTTTGATTTTCTGCTTCTGAGAGAAAACCCTGTCAAGGTGCACGTGAATAGAGCAGCTGGTTGGGAAATCGTCGACTCTTCCGATTTGGTTGGGCCNGTGGGATTTCGTCGGCTCCTCCGATTTGGTTGGGCCATAGGCAATACCTTGGAAGCCTTGCCAGAAATGACTGTTTTCAAAGTATCGGGGAATTCAACTCCGCCTCACTAAATGAATCATGAGAGGATGACTGTACCTGGCCAACATGTAGCCGATGGAACGGTGTTGCTTACACTTCCACTGAGGTCCTTTCAAAAAGGCGTCTCCATACTCAAGTTGCTCGGAATAAGAATAAGAATAAGAATACTGTAAATTGGGTGATTCTGGAAGCGGTATAGCATTTTGGAATGGATTTATTTGTCCAAACTCTCGGCCACATCCGGAATCTGTCAAGAACGGAAACGGTAGTTATTGGGACATATGAATAGTTAGCATAGCATTTAAACTAATCATAAACAGAGTTGCATCTCCGTCCTCAGTTTGAGGTTATGAACCACCGTCGGAGCACCACTGCTTTGAGTTGTACGTCTTCGTTCACAGTGATCCTCTTTTTGTGAGTGGAGCACTTCAAGGTTGCCATTTCTACAGGTAGAGTTACATGGCTAACAGAATTGACTACTTGCATTCGAATGCAAAAATCTAATCATTCAGATAGTATTAACATTCTGAGTTCGCCTGCAATTATGCATGTTTCTACTGGTCGTTTTATTTTCAATATCATACTAACTTCAACGCTAGACTTTGCAGTACGGAAATTGGGGATATCTACATCAAAACGCTGAAGTACTGACTGACGTTGTATGCTTTTGTTTGTTGGTAGACTGTATTTAAAACAGTCTTGGAGTTCAACTGTAGATAGACAGGACGAAATTTGAGCAGCGAAAATGAGGTGGATTGGAATGTCAAAAGATGGATCTGATAGAGTTGAAATCGATCAGGCCCAATGTAGTAGTGACTGGTTCAGTAGAAAGTGACTCAGTCAGTCGGTTGAGGCTTCTCTTATCAACTGACTCCGCTTCGCAAGTAACAGTTGTATGACGCGGCGATGTTGGTTTGTGGTTCTCAATAATAACGCGGAACTTTGCGTCGATGTTGGGAAAATCTTTTATTGGTCTAATGCTAATTGTTTCAGGATGGTGAAACGGTTATCCACCCAAATTCATCCTCACCCTCCTCTGTGCCGAACAAACACAAGGAACGATGGAACCTAAATAGCATGGCTACAACGGATTCGCCGCCCGCTTCAGAAGAGACCATCAAACTTAGCCGACATCGTACGGTTTCCTCCGATCAGGAGGAGGATGACTCGTCGAATTCCGGACTTCAGTGTTCTTTTTGTGGTACTCAGACCCTGGAGCGGTGTCGAAAGTGCAAATGGGCCGCCTATTGCAGGTAGCAACAGTTGGTACTTTAGTTTGCAATTGGTTGTTGTGTGCACGGTGTCCGTGTCTGTATAGTTTGGCAAAAACAGCAGCTTTTCGGGAAGTTAAATACGTATTTTATTCACATCTTTTAAATCCAAAAGTGCACAACGCAACAGATATAGAGAAATAACAACTCGAGATTTTCAAGTGAAGCCGATCTATGCTGAAAATCAGAGAAGCACTGTACAGCTGTTTCATCTTTGCCGAGGGAATCATCGGCAGTGCAGATCTCACGAAAACCTATGGAGTTTCGAGCCCGTCAGGACCTCCTGACTAGTAGTTCGGTCACGATCAGCAGTGCGATAATCTCCCACCTGGGATATGGCACCACTCACCCGAAACCACATCAGGCGGTCACGTAATAACCGGCTCCTCGAATGATGACCTCTCAGTTAGAAGTTTCGCACGTCATTCTTCAGCTGAGCTTCTCATGGATCACTCACACTGTTGATCAACCGCTTGTGATCGAACGGTTCAAACTACTAGCTGGAAGGCCGTAGGTTTGAGACTACGTGGGGTTTCGTGACATGTGCACTGTTAGTGGATTTCCATAAGGGTGATACAGCAGTACAGTGCTTCTCAGCTTCAGGACATAGATTAACTTCACTTACATGACGAAATATCTATTGAAAACTCCAAAATCACCTCACACTACTATCAGTTCCTCGGTGGAGTTAGCAGCAGATGTGGCAGGCATGTATCGTATCGCATGGGAACAGCCCTCCGTTAAACATTCAAAGATTGGCGAAGTCTCAAATGATCAGAGGCTATAAAAATTCGTTTCCTGTTTAAGTTGGGCCACTTCACACTTGGCCACGCAAATGGCGGTTAGCCAGACCAATGATATTGGGGTTACTCCTTGCACATGAACGTGTGCTTTAGCGTTGACCAAATACGTTGACTTGTAGACATCCAACGATTGGTTCACATGGCTACTAGTGCAAATAATTAAGTCCGAGTAGAGCTGGTTGGGTCCGCCACCACATGCACACCATTTCTCTTGGTTTTTCAAGACGAAAGGCGAGCGCAAGTTGACATAATTTGGCGATAGACTTGTATCCACCAGTAGAGCATGGCTGTCATATATCGAAAACCCATTAGTCGCATTTCACACTGGGAGCAAATGAAGTGAATAGCAAACGGGAGAGAACGGCCATTGTTTGCAAAACCTGTAACAGTGGCGAACTACTGGGAAACCTGGTTTTCACTTAGCGCATATTTTGATTCGTCTTCGTTCTAAATGTGTGCGATCATGGTAAAGTACCATTACTTAAATGCTTATCATATCGAATGGATGTAGCGACCAAACACAGTGTGCCGATCTGATCATGGCTGGATTTATATTGCACGTAATCCAACTCTTTTCGACAAATGGCCAGTTCGCAAACCAAGTCCACTGGTCAGCCATCAGTTACCGCAGATCTGTTTTGTTGGTCGTATTTCATTGATTTTGCATCTTCCACGCACGTGCACAACCTAGTTTAGCTTGAACGCCTACCGGTCTATCCAGTCGAAGAACGTGTGGAACGTAGCGTTTTTCTTTTTATGCTGCATTTGTGTGACAGAGTCTCAAAATCACGTAAGATTGACCAGAACTCTGACCGGATTTATGTGGCCTGTCAGATTCGGAGCTTTGTCGCATCAGAGTTGGACAATATACCA